AGATCTAATAATGCACCTGTTTAGCTTAGCTGTGGCTTTAGAAATCCCTTAACAGAAAATCAGAAGGGAAGCGCAGAGTTTAGCAACTGCTTGTGGAAATCGCCTACACTTTTTCAGGCATCAGGCAAACGAGGGAGATCTTCTACACCAGGAAAGCTGTGCTTTTTACAGACTGCGAGGCCTTTCGGAAGGGTCCGTGAAGATTGGCTGGGCTGCGTGATTTTGGATTGCCTTACACCACATAGATAAAAGCAGCTTTTACTCCTACTGCCTAGCGATCATCTGCTGGCACCCAAGCAACCACTGGCAGATTTCTATAGCTTTAAAGGTCCATTTCAGAAAGGTCATCTTTCTCATGTTGAGGGAGGGTCAGGGCAACAAAATCAGCAACAGCAACAAGAAGTTAAAAACAAACTTGTAGAGTATGACTCTCTTGGGGGAATTTAAGGCAGATTATAGGAGAGAGAACACTCTCCTGCATCTGTAAGCTGTTTGCTAAACTGCAAACTCTTCTTGTTAGCATCGCAGTAGTATGTAGAAATCAGATTCAGGGCTTTTTTTCACTACATGTTGTGCAAACCAAGTAAGGGGGAATGCTTTCTTCAGCGAGATTAAAACAATCTCGGGGGTGCATAAATAACTAAGTGGGCATAGCAGGTATTATAGAAAATGGGTAGTAGAGAGGATGAAGATGAAAATGAGAGGAATGTAAGCTTATGCAAAGTTTGCAAGGTTGACATTCTGTTATTACATTGGAAAGGCTACAGATATCATATTAGCAGTAGGCATAATTTTCTTTAGTACAGATTAATAGAGTGGAGCTTGCAGAGGCCTGTGTTTTTCTCTGCCTTTTTCCAGTGTTGATAGGTTGACTTGGCATCTGGATATAATATGTAAGAGTCTGCTTGCTATGTGAGTAAACTTAAAAAAAATAGGATTCCGAGTGATCAGCAGGGCACCACAGGCAGATGTAATCTGTGCAAGGTCAAGCGAGGCTGTGACTATGACAGGATCTGGTAGCTGTTCATACAGATTAAAGTATTTATTATTCATATTTTATATAAAGCCTGAATTATTTGAAGCCATGTACTAGTCAGAACAGAAAAGACATCTTTTCTTAATGTTTAAAGAGCAAGGTGTGGGATTCATCTCGGTTAACTTCACCAGTTTTGGAGTTACGTGGCGCATGTAAACTTGTCGCTTTAGGCTTTGTCTATAGTTGATGAAGAAATACGGCCACCTTCAAAGCACTGTTCATCCCACCCGTCTCCAGACAGCTGCTTGAAGGTGCCTTTTTCTTTCACCGATGTTAGAGGGAACCTTGATCATGAGCTGACAGTAGACACCTGATTTTTGACGTTTAAATTTAGGTGGGTGAATTCTTGTCCATAACAACTGACTTGAATAAAGGCCAGAGACTTCAGTCCTCTGTACAGCAGTCTAACAAACTCTCCCTGTGATTTTGAGCTAGACATTTCAGCAAATATTTTCAAAATTAGCAGATCTTGTTAAATGTCTGGCTCTTGCCTATCTTCCATTTCCTCCTCCAGGAAGTATTACTTTCCAGCCTCTGTAGAGTGATTTGAAATTCATGAATAAAATGCAAACTAAAATAGTGCAGGACAATTGTTGTTTATTCAGCTTCAAGTGGAACCAAAGTGTTTCTGAAAAAAAAAAAAAATCCCGAGTAAAATTATTTATAGTACAAATGCACAGCAGTTTCTTGAGACTAATATTTTTTGGGTGGGACGGGGACTGTTGCAGCTGTGTTATTTCCAGTAAGTCATTTTCTAAGTCTTGTGCCCTACCTTTCTGGCATACCAATGAATATCAGGATAGCTTATGAGGCTTTCAGGTTAGAGCGAACACTAAAACCAATATTTTTCTCTCAGATGTGTTAGTGTATTGATATTATTAGTCCCACGTCTGCTAGCCTCTGGATATTTCCCTTCCCAGGACCGTCATCAAAACTAACTCTGGTTCTGACTATGTTATGAAAAACATAGTACCAGTGGGGAAAAAAAAAAAAAAAATTTGACAGCCACGTAGTATCTACCAGATCATGTGAAGAATAAAGACACCAAGTCCCATTTCAGCCTCATTCTTTGTGCCGGCTGTTTTCCTCCGTGCTCTCGTACTCAAGAGTTTTCCACTACTAGGCTATAGCAATTAAAGTTAAATTGCTGTGTGAAATTCTCACTGTTAGGGAGTCCGGATGTCTGGTTCATCCTCCCTGGATGTCCTTTTATCAATGCAAGGGAAACCATCGCAGTTCCCCACTGCAGCAATAAGCTAGGTACATGCATGGTCAAAACAACGGGCGTATTGCGGTGTTTGTTCCTCTGCGCTGATGGGGTGCAGGGCTGCTTAAGAGATACCCACAAGCAGCTCTGATGATGTGTTGTTACCCTTTATATTCCCCTTTTCCACCCCCATGCTTTTTCCTCTGCTGCACTCATACACTCACAAATAAACAGCCTGTCCCTGTTTATTTTTTACCCACTAGCTTCAATGTTGCTGATTTTATATCCTTACTTAGTGTTTATCATATGTTTGCCTTAGTAATTTCTGCCTTGGTCATCAGTGCTGTTCAGCTAGTACCCCTGTTTGTGCTCTTTTCTGGATTGCTATCTTGTTAGTGTAGCCTCAAGTCAAGGTTAGCCATCTGCGTATGCAGTACTCCCTTTCTGCTTTTCGTTATGCCTGGTAATTTCTCACGTTGTTATCTTGCTAGTGTAGCCACAGCTCAGGTTTGACAATTTGCACATGTACCCTTGCATCCAGAAGCCAGCCTGGTGAAACTGCTGGTGGAAGCGCCTTCTCCTTCTCCTTCGTCTACTTGGGTCTGAATTAAAAGAGAGAGCCCTCATGTGGCCAGCGACAGCTAGACCTTGGGGGAAACATCACACTTAACCGTCTGCTTTCTGCCTGCCCTTCCCTTCTTAATAAGGTTGCAAAATACATGCACGTGGCCCAGCCTGTCCAACCAACCTGTCCTATTCGAACCAACATCGTCTGACATACTGCTCTGTATTTCTTCCTTGGCTGCCTTACAATGGTGACCCACAGTGGGAGATGCTCATTAACCCTTCTGTCCTGACCAGATGATGGCCTGCTTTCTGGTGGCTTCTTCCACCCTCTTGCTTGGTCTGGCCTCTGAGCCACATGGAGAAGCTGCCCAGAAAGGGTCAGTTATTATGTGCTGGCTCTCTTCCTGGAGATCACTCATCTCCCATTTACCCAGATTACTTCTGTAGCAACCTGACAGTGAAAACTGGTTGAATGGGAATAGAAACACCTGCATTAAAAGGATCTGAGACCTATGCCAGTTGTTTTTTTTTATGGGGAAGGTGCTCTTCCCCCAGCTAGAAGGCAGAAAGGAAGAGTTCAGAGAGGTTGTATGCTCCACCCACCTGGCTTAATTCAGAATGACACTCTGGAGACAACCTGCCAGCATACAAGGTCACCTATAGAAGTTTCCTTTTACTACAAAGGCCAAATAAATATTTAGGTGTCATGATGGAACTGCATCTTTCAGTTTTTCCCAATTATTTGCTAGGGAACAGCAACAAGAAGTGGAAAAGTGCCTTGTCTAGCGCCTGAAGTAGTTCGTTGCTGCTGTGGCCGCTCACCTGCATGGTGTATCTTCCTCCTTGGGCTTAGACATGCGGTAGCAGGGCATTAGAGATTATGTTTTTCCTGAGGTAGAAGAAAAGAAACACAATCATAAGGGAAAATCCTAGACTAAATAAAATGACAGTATATCTGGTTTCATTTATCTGTCTAGTATCAGCTTACATTTCCCTGCCATCAGACCATCACGTCACATTGCAGTCTGACACAGCATCTGCAAACCAAGCAAGTAAAAATGTAATGGTGAGGGTTAGAACTAAATTTCTCTATCCACAAAAAAAAGCATCTCCTTCCATATACAGATGGTTCCTGATATGTCATATCGCCATGCTAAGTAATAAGAACTGTACAGTAGTTTCTCTGGTTAAAAAAAAAAAAATAAAAATTGCACCCTGAACCTCATGACTTGTTTCTTATTGACAATTTAGTAGGACAGTAGGTAATACTTAAGTTAAAAAAAGGGATGATTCTTTGAGTTCAGGTTTGAACTAAATCCAAAATTTTGAATGAGTGTAGGGTTGTTTTATTTTCGGCATGGTCCACCGCTTCTGGAAATGCCAATCTGCGGGAAGCCGATCATACTGCCACAATTGCCACAGTAACAGTGTGATGCAAACAAGATTTCTGTTCGGGTACAATATGAACGGTGAGCAGAGACTGTCCCTTAAGCTGTCCTTGTAGGAAAAAACAGCCCTCATGAAATTAGGCTTGGAACAGGACTTTATCAAAGAGAGACACTGAACAAAGCTTTTGGCAAATATATTTAGAAGACACTAAATATGACTTTGGGATCACTTCATTACGTGTTCTTTGTTTAAATGTAGCTTGTCTGCCCTGACTCAATGGCAATTCTGTTTCTGTAAAATATTTTGCTTTCTCTACAAATTGCTGAAAAGAATTTTCAAAATGTCGGTACGTGTTAGGCACTTAGTATTCGTAGGATCTTCTGAAAAAGCCCATCTGCTATGCAAATTAATATCTAAGAGTAATTTCTGAATGGGTATTCATAGAGGCATGGTTCAGAAAAACAATTAGCATATGTTTACCGTCCAGTGATTTCCATAAAATACAGATCTTTACTTGAATACTTTATACAATGAGGAATGATTTCCTGAGCTGAAGTTGTATGCATTACAACTAATAATATCAATATATTGTTTGCTTATTAATGGATTTGAATTTTATTTGCTTGTTCCTCCACCAAGTTCAATTCCCAGTGACGGAAAATACATTCACTTGTTTAATTATTCATGAAGCATGTCCTGTGTGACTGTGTTATTCCCCACCCTGTGGGATGAGGTGACTTTTTTTCTCAGTTGCTTTCAGGAGTGCATGTCCCTGCTGACTCTTTCTGTCCTGTCCCCTAGTGCACCTGGTGGACATCTGGAACGTGATAGAAGCCTTGCGGGAAAACGCACTGAACAACCTGGATCCCAGCATTGAACTGAACGTGGCTCGCCTGGAAGCTGTGATTTCAACTATCTTCTACCAGCTCAACAAACGGATGCCAACGACCCACCAGATCAACGTGGAGCAATCCATCAGCTTGCTGCTCAACTTCTTGCTAGCAGCCTTTGATCCGTAAGTCTGCCTTCCTCAGCCATGTGTGCTTCCCTCCTCTCCCAACTGGTGAAAGGATTTTACTTGCTCCGGAAATATCTTCGGAAAACAATTGAACAAGCTAAATTGTGACCCAAATAATGAGCCTGTGAATCGTGCTAACTAGAGAGAGAACCTAAATTAAGGATCTCTGCTTTCCTTTCTGTGGAGCCAAATTCAGCACAACTGTGTTTTCATCCAGTTACTCAGACTTGTTCCGGTTTATATCAAAGAAGAATTATCTACAGAAACAAATTTACATCCACTTCTAATTTGCCTTGTTATTTATTGACACACCAGTGGCTGACACCACTGCAATGCCTCTGCAGCAGTGCCATGGGTTAATAGCTCATTATTTTGAAAGAGCTCATTTTCCTGCAAGTTCTTGCAGCTGTAAGCAATTTTTTTTTCTGGCTCATGCCAGTGCAGCATGATTTGGAGACCATGACAGAAATAGGATAGAGACCTGGAGGTGATGAAATGCATGTTGTTTATTACTGCATGGGACCCGTATTACAAAAAGGACAAGTTTGAGATAGAGTGAGCCACTTATCTTAACGAGTATACTGCGTATACATATTACAGTTTCTGAATACATAGTCATCAACCTGTACTGCAATATTTGCAATCCTCAAAACCAAATTTTTGGAGAGCAGTGGTTAAGTCTGACAGATGCAGATTACCTATTGCTTCTTTATGGCTTATATTTTGAAAATTCACAAGCTGAAAACACTGGCCATGACACATTAAAAAAGGATGCTGCCCCTCTTTCCCCTCCTTCTTTCCCATCCTCACGCTTGAGGGCCCGGGTGCTGGGTGTCATCAAGCACCTTTCGGAGCCAGACCAGCCAGTGGCTCAGTCGCCATGGCAACGAGGAGAAAAAAGTAGATGTTCCACATGACAAGGCTGCACCCAACCTCCCCTCCGGCCCCTCCGAGGGGAAGAAAAAGAAGCCAATCCGTTGCCAAACCGTAGCCTTTGGAAATATTTTTCTCCCCTCAAGGGCAATAAAAGAAGGAACAGGCATTTTAATTGATACCATTGTGGCTGTGACAGGAACGCTAAAGGACGACGAAAATGGCCAGGCGCATGCATTGCTGCATGCTGCAAGCAAACTGCTTCCCGGCTGGTAAACACAGGGAAAGACCCCGGACTGTGGAAACAAGACCTGCGATAAGGTGCTTGTTTTGTAGTTCACTGTAAAGGGGTAAAGATCTCAGCTAGACATCAAGGCTACTTGCAGCAAAATGGAGGAGAGGAATTTAGTCCCCTATGGGGAAGCAGAGAGTGTGCTTAAAGGGGTAAGCTTTTGCTTTCTCTGAAAACACCCCAGGTGCTGTGGGTCATGACCTGTTTCAGGGCTCCCGTCAGGCGCTCCCAGGGGTGAGGAGGCTGTGAGCCTCACTCCATTTGCCAAGCAGCATCTCAGTCCGTTGCGCTGCCTCCACCCCGTTTTAAAGGCAGCAAACATCTGGGATGAGGTTCAGATGCAGTCTGAGATACCTAAGCTCAGGCTTCATGGAGATGTGTGTCAGCTAGATCTCTCTACTGTAATGGGAGTTTGGACACCTATCACAGATACAGACATACAAGTTCAGCATCTGATTCTCAAAACGTGCCCTACTCTTTAGATTACTGAAGTTTTGGGTCGGGTGTTGGTTTAGCAACCACTGGTGGCCCAGCTTTCCCTGTTTCTGGGGGACAGAGGGAGGGAGATGGCTCTATATGCTACAAGGGACAGTGTGAGAGCAGCTGGGGTCTAACCAGAGCTGATGTCTCTGCTTCCCGTGTTGCTCCCTTCCGTCCCCTCCCCTGCAGTGCAGCAGCAAAGTCCTTTTCTGCTGATGGCTGCAAGTTGGTAGATGGAGCAGCAAGGTCTTTTCTTGTGGTCCTGTGCTCAGAGGGAAGCAATGCATTGCATATGGGGGGAACAGGGGTGGAACTGTGAGGCGGGATGAAGTCTTTTTCTCACTCTTCCCCCCATTTATAGAAACTGAACAGTTAAGCTAAATTGCCTGCAGTCTTCTCTGATGAAAAAAGGGGGTTTGCTAGGTGTATGAATCATACTGAAATCACAACAGTCACCCCTAAAATAATCCTGTTACCTTTGATCTGAGTTCACTCCTCTGTTTCATAGCCTTGTGTTTCAAGGAAACAGTTGGCCTACAGAAATGCTATCCAAATTTCTAGGTGGATACTGAGGAATTATTTTTAATGTTTATTGATGAATGTTAATATGATCACATTGGATTCTGTGAATGTAGACAACAACGAAAAAAAGCCCAAAACCCTAAAAAACCCAAAATAGCTTTCTGAGACCAAAATAATAGACCAAATAGCTCTTCCATATAAATGAGAAGTCTGTTTTAAGTGATCGTGGATGCTTTTGGTGTTTGTGGTTACGCAGAGCAATGGCTGCTGTACTCTGTGGGCAGGTCCAGAAAAGGTTGTGCGGTTTCTCATGTCCCGTTAGAAATGCAAAGAAAGAGAGCAGAGAAATGGAGTCTGCAACTTAACATATATGAAAGGACCACAAGGGACAAGTTAATGTGTGATTTAAAATCTAGTAAGCTTACCACTGTCTCATTTATTTAGTTCTAGTTAATAAATACTGCCCTGTGTGTATTGTGCTGGTTGAAGATCCTCCAAGCTTTAAAGAGACCTTCCTTCATTTATGGCCTGCTGAAAACCTGGCAGGTTTCTCTGCCCTCTGGCAGGGAGCATTTCCCTAGGCCTGCAGTACAGGTGTCTTCTCAGGAGCTAGAACCTGGCTAGCAGAACTCAAGAGGAACCACAGTGCAATGCCATGGCATGTGGGCCAGCTTGCCCACTGCCTGTGCTGAACTTTCATTCCACTTGTTTGTGGGTTTTTTATGGCCTGCAGGTAATTTTATTTCCCTGCTGCTCAATCCTGAAGGGAGGAAAAAAAGGGGAAAGATTATAGTGTATAAGATTTCACCTCAGCTGAGCATGGTGCTCCTTCGTGCTAAGCCAAAACTAAAGTGCAACCTTATAAAACCACAGGTAAACAAAACCAAAATTCACAAACAGAAGTGCTGCTCCAATGAATTTGCCTTTAGTGTGTGAAAGTCAGCACCATGTGGTAGAGGACCCTGACAGACCAAAACCAGTGAGCAGAATGAGGCGGTCAGACTTTTAAAAATCTGGACAAAAACATGCCTGATTTACGTTTTTAACTGCACATTAAAATTGGGCAATAGCTTTTGCTTCAAGGTCTAAGGTGATTAACTGGCTTTATGAAATAATAGTGTACTTAGTTCACTGGCACGTAAGTACTATATAAAAAGATAACGAGTTCAAACCTCTCTGAAAAACTCATCCCAGGCCGGTGTCAAAGCCTAGGCAGCTAGGTGGAATGTCAGCCTCATTCAATCGAGCTGTTCCCAAAAAGACTCTTTTTAAACAGACTGTAAAATATTCTGTGCTAGATCATCGTCAGGACTGACTCAGGTCCCTTGATGTACCTGTCCTACATGGAGCTGTGAGCTCTGGGCTGTGAAGCAGGCCCAGTCTGGCTGGAGGAGCTTGACTTCTACAAAGACAAGAGGAAATATTCGTGCCCTTGTTTAATCAAATGCACATTTGAATCTTGCTGCATTCAATATATAAGAATGTTCAGTACCTGTTTTGGAAGTATAACTTCTTGCTCATCCATCTATTCAGAGCTGTGAATAGATTCTCCACCTTCGCTAACAATTGAAAGACATACAGGCCAGCTAGCTTTTACAAAGGAAGTCCAGCAAAAAAAATTCAGATATTTGGTCATTATGCATTTCAGAGATTTGGTCATTATGCATTTTGCTCTCCTAAATGAAAGAATTTTGCTTGATTCCAATAAAATTTCCTCTCTGAAACCTGTGAAAATGGGAATTTTTAATTACAGCCTCTGACATTTCAGAATTGGCTGCCCTGATTAAGGTGGGCAGTAGGAGGCCCACAAGTAACTGAAGAAATTCCATTACTTCTGGAAAAGATAAAGTGGTGGGGGAGCACCACTTCATGCCTAGTTCATGAGAATAATCATATTTTCTCAATGTCCATTCCATGGGACACAAATGCTGTTTCTAAAGATGTGATGTTTTTTCTTTGTAGCTTCCCTCACCATATTGCCGTCTCAGGATGGGTATTGCCAGAGATCCTGACAAATGTCAGTGTCATCCATTTGGTACCGCTTTCCTTGCTGACCCAAAGGCAAATTCAGGCTCTGGAGCTGGACTTAGCCTTGTGTGGTGTGTGGATTTTATCAGGCAGCCCGTGGGGCTTCCTTGCTCTGGAGGGAGGCTGCCTCTCTCTGCAGCCACACATTTGAAGAGGAAACTTTCTGTTCTGCTCTGCTGTCTAAAAGCATGTATTATTTTTTGCCCTTTTTTCCCCAAGCTGCAGGAGATGACCTTAAGCCCTGGCCATCATTTCCTAAGTACTCCACCCTGTGTTGTTGCTAAGTGCATATCAGCTTCGAGGTTTGCCTTTGCCATCATTTATGGTGCTTTTCTGTAGGGATCCGAAGAGTAACCTCAGTAAGAGAGGTGCTATATAAAATGAAAATATTTTCTGTCCTCTCCTATTTCCACTAGTAAAATTTATATCTCTTTGCATTAGCCAGCCTAAAGCTTCTTGCAGGGAGCACTGACTTCAAAAGAGATCTTCGTGCTGCTGCAAGCCACTGCTTCAGCATTTGCTTTTACACAGCAAACACTGCGAGGCCCCAGTGCTGCCAGTCAAGGGCATCTGTAGCGCTTAGACATAGCTTAGGGCACTTCTGGATCCAAATGATATTGGCAAGTCTTAGATTCCATTATCCTGTCCATTCATCAGTCATATATATTTATATATGCACATGTGTATATGTATGCACACACACACGCACACACATAGATATTTGGAGGGCAAATTGAATTTATACTGGCTCCAGTGATGCTTTTATGAATACAAATGACTGATACAAAATACAGTGTCAAAACTAATCAACTCAAACTGAGAGACTGAAGAGATAAATGACATCTTTTCTTTCTCTGTTCCTCTGTTCCATAACCATTTGAGTATGGGAAACGTGATGGCTCTGGGGTGGAAAGCCAAAGGCGAGTTGATATGTGTCTGCGTTCAAGAGTATAATCCTGTTAGTAAATGTAACTAAACCTACTGGGAAAAATCATCTAAATCTGAAGCACTTCCACATGGGCTTTATTTTTTCCTCTAATTCTTCCATTGCTTCTTAATAATGCCATTGCTTCCACTTAGCATTTATTTTTCTTAAGTATAACAACTCTTTTAAAGGCAGATGAAAACCTCATGATGAAACACTATAGAAAAAATAAATTCCCAAGGGTCTAAAGGGTAGCATGCACAAAAAGAATACAAAATGGACACATTCTCAGCCATAGCTGCAGCAGTGCTAGGTCCTGGTTTACACAAAATAGAATCCAGCCAACAAAGGATTGAAATACAGAAGATTGGCAGTTCCTATACTGTGACTTTAATCTTATGAAGCTACTCAAAGAGAATGCAATGCCATGAAAAAGAAAATGTGCATGAAAGCCAGCATTAAAGAACATAGTAAAGATTTCTTTCTTAAAGACTGAAGCAGTGATTTTTTCTGTCTAGATCTCTGGTTAATTTTCTGACAAAAAGCAGATTTTTAAATGCATGTAAAGAATATTTAGAATTAATATTTAGAATCATGAGTTACATTGACCTAGAACTAAATCCAATTCACCGAACTGTATGGGTTATTAGCCAGCGAAGCTTAGAGCATTGACTCACTTTGTAAAGTCTGAGTGACTTAATAATGAACATAGCAGTGAAGCATGTAGTATACTTTAATGTACTGATACGAGTATGCCATTCATGTCCGCTATATATGTTTTTGTTACTGTAGAAGTCTGGCTTGGGGTGAGCAAAGAGAGAGACACAGTCACAGGCTCTGTGTCTTTCCATAAACAGTTTATCTTTTAGTTCTGATCAGACACAATTTTCTTCATTAAAATTGTGAGTGCCAGTCAACAGGGTAATTTCATAAATATTGATGGAGAGCTCAATTTCTATATTTTCACACAGAATGGCAAGGGTTGGAAGGGACCTCAGGAGATCATCTAGTCCAACCCTCCTGCTAAAGCAGGTTCACCTAGAGCAAGTGCCAGTGCAGTTAGACTATCTTATGTAAGAGATATATCTATATATTTTAACAGGAAATCCCTTATAAGCATAAATTTCCCTGACAGAGTAAAGGCTGAAGGTTACAGAACCTCTGTTTCCAAAATATGACCCAAAACTTTATTATCTGGTCCCATCATTAGCCCTATCAATAGCATTTAGAGAGAGACATGGGTGCCATTTTGCTGAGCTCACAAATATTGTTTGACTGTCTCTTTAAAGCATGATGGCAATGTGTTGTCACTGATATCATTAAAGAGACATATGGGAAGATACTAAGTAATGCTAAGCACTTTGGAAGACAGATAAAAGTTGCTGCAGTGCAACTGTGGGCTCTGAGTGCCTTATAGTAAGACTCAGAATTTCAAGAAAAAACACACATTTCAATATTTGGATGCCCAAAAAATGAACATTAAAAAAGACATGAACTTAGAGGGCGTGTTCATTCTCCTCTTTGGAAAGGGACTGAACGTAACAGCATCTTTGTTCTGCCATTCCTCTGAATACTCCCAACATAGTTTTGCCTAAACTGAGTCTTTTAGGAGCTAAGAGTGCCTTGCAGTGCATGAAGTTTTGTATTACTCGTGCAGCTCGAATATACCGAGGTTTCTGTAATGGCAGGTAATCATTGGGGACCATCAGGACTGTGGACGGAGAATGAGGGCAGCAAGAGGAGCAATAAAATTAAGCCATTGCATGCTTCAGGACAGTTGAAGGAAGAGTTGGCAATGTGCTAAAGGTGAACACAGCATCCTGAGAGTGCCATATAAGGTCTAATCCTTCTGGAGAGAAGAAAAAAAAGTCTTTTATTTTTACCTGAAAGTGACTGGATTTACAGAAAAAAAAAACATGTCTTTTTGCCCCTATGGCATACGCCTGTGTGCATTTCAGATTTAATAGTGTTATTCATTTTAAGTTGAAAACAGAGCCAGACATAGCCTCAACTGGAACAAACCAGGGACAAGACTGTTCTACAGATGACAACAAATGGCCTTTGCTCGTTCTGGGTACAGGTTTATTCCCCATTTTTCAGCAAAGCCCTCCTTAAAGGTTCATGGGGGTCAGGTGTATCATTTAAAAGGCAGTTGTCAGGACTTACTAACAGGTACAATACGCAGCTTGTGCAGTCATGTGGTCCTTTTCTGTTTTTTTGCTTTTGTTCCCAATGTTGATTTTTGCAATTATTTGCAATATTCTAGGGACAGAAGATACACAGTGCACTTAGGACAGGGAGGCCACAAGTGTGATCGATGCCTTCCAGTGCTACTGTAGCACAAATAGCAGTAATAATAATCACCTTAATATATAATGAGATAAACAGTTTCATACTGAGATTTATATACATAATAAATCTGTTCTGAGATCTTTACAGGACAACGTACTGATGTATGTTCCCACAAAACAAACTTTGATTTTAAAATTCAATTATTTCTTCATATGTGAATCCACATATCGCGTGCATTACAATATGTCATGTCAATGGTACACATTTTAAACAGAAGGAAGTCCATGTTGTAAAATATGTCTACTTTCTACTTTTGAACAGGGAAGGGCATGGTAAAATTTCCGTTTTTGCTGTCAAAATGGCCTTGGCAACTCTTTGTGGAGGAAAGATCATGGACAAATTAAGATGTAAGTCTTTTGGGTGGCATTTTTTACCTGTTAATTGTTGTTGTACTTTGAGACATAACAGTACAGTTAGGAAAAGAGGGAATTAGGATAAGTTATAGTTTCATGGCTGGGTTTGGGATTTGCACTATATACACCTCCAAGTAATTCCCAATAAATGTTTGACTGAACTTCACACCAGACTTCATATTTTTGAAGCTAAATTGCATTTATTGAGGTTCTGATTGGTGGGGTTTTTTTTTCCTGTGGGATGACTGAATTCAGAGGTAGGTGCCTCAAATGTTCAATATCACGAAGCATCATTTAACAATTTGTTCAGACATTTCTAATAACATATCTCTCATTTCACACTTAGAAGTACAATATATTTATGCACTATTTATATTTCTTCCCATAGGACACGTACTAATCCCATCTATTTTGGATAACAGATTCTCATTTCACAGCATTTATTCCCAGTTCCCCAGTAGCCAAGGCACAGTTTACTTGCAGCTGCAGTGAAATATTTTCTATTTAGTGCTATGATATCTGTAGCTCAGGTCCAAAACACCATTTGACAGACTTTTTGACCAAAGAATTAATGTCAACCTTCAATTTCCTCTGAGCCTTCTACCACAGCCAAAAAAAATGAGTTTACATCTGTTGTTGTTTAGAGTATACAAGTAGAAGTCCCAGGCACTAATTTAGTCTTCCAGATTTGGTGCCATTTTTTAATATAATATTTCCATGTAGAAACTCAAATGTAGACTGTACTTTAATTACAAATTATAAATTGAAAACTGTTACAAATTGAACACTGTTCCTTAGGCTGCTTTAAGAATAAGAAACAGGGTCCATCCCGTGGAAGGCTGGAGTACGATGCTGATTTTTTGGGTTAGCAGTCCCAGGGTCCTGTTGTCAGAAGATCCTTTCCAGGTTCCTGGAAATGAAGCAGCTGACATGACAGCCTGAAAAATGATAAATGTTCCTTAGTCTATGATCCCCTGCTAAGCTTAGGATGCTTCTAAACAAGGGGAAAAGTAAAGGCTGGGAAACATGCATCTCTGGAGAAATAAAACTTTGCAATATTCTTATAAATGAACAAAAAAGCAAAAAAAGAGAAGAGTCAAAAGTAATGCATTTGAAAGACCTTCTGTGCTTTGTGTGTCCAAAACAATAGTAACTGACTTAATGAACTCATTGTCAAGATTTAGATTTGACATGGGAAGCTGGCAGTAGGCAAAAAGCTGATGTTGCGTATCTTGTCAAATGAGATCCTTCTTATCTGATTCAATTACCGCCTCATGCCACGCACCAGACTTTGCTTAAAAAAATGACTACACACAATGAAAAAGAAGCAGCAATATTTTAATATCAAAATCAGCTACTTTTTATATGTAAGTCATTATTTGTTTTCTATTGAGTGGGATTATAATTACTGATGCAGTAATAGTGAATGTTTCCATAAGCAGAACATGTTGCTTAGTACTCCTCAGTTCAGATCAGATGATACTGAATTAAGAGCAAATCTGTAGCTCACACTGAAGTTGCTGTGTCCTTTTCTTGTCTTTTCCCCCCTCAGATATTTTCTCAATGATTTCCGACTCCAGTGGAGTGATGGTTTATGGCAGATACGACATGTTTCTGCGGGAGGTTCTCAAGCTGCCCACGGCTGTTTTTGAAGGGCCTTCATTTGGTTACACTGAGCAATCAGCAAAATCCTGTTTCTCACAACAGGTAAATGAAGAGCGAGCATCCTAGACACAGGATCTCAATCACCTCTCAGAGCAGGCCAAAACTTCCTTCCTTTCTTACACATACGTGCATATTCGCCCAGGAAACACATGGCTGGGTGGAGGGGAGGTCCACTTGGCTAATTTCTGGCACATAGGTTAGGTGCCTTCAATAGGAAGCTAGTCTCTATAGGTTTCCTGTATAGCCAGGGAAGAGAGAGGCTTAGTCAAAAAGCAATTCAGAGCAGGTTCTTCAGTTAGGGATCCTGAGGAGACTACCTTCCTAATTTAAGCACCTAAGTTAGATACTCACATTTAGGTGATCTAAATGCCCCAAGACATGCAATCCTCCACTCCAGTTAGTTGTTGCTGCTATAAGCATATATGAGACTTTAACTTCTCCGTACAAAGCTCAACTCCCACTGAAAAATCAAACTAAATGTTTCCCAAGCAATGATGTACACACATAAGAAGTTTACGAGTGAGCAGAAAATTGCCTTAATTGAACCTGTATTGAAACCTGTATTGAAAATGGGAGTCTGTAGGTGTTAGAAAATCTCTAGTCTCTTACAGATAACATCAGTGAGGTAAGGTCAGGAAAGCAATGAGTTTATCATGGAAAAAAGATGAGATTTTTCCACAACTCACCAAACTCTGTAGGTGCGCTGAGTACAGTCCATTGGTTGCAGCTAATACCTAGCACTTCAAAAGATCCCATAACTGAGGCTGGTCATCCACTTCTCCAGTGGAGAAAGAGAGAATTCCTCTGGCTCTTGCCACACATCACACTGTGTAATTCCATAAATATAAAGTAAGGGAAGATGCTGAAACTGAGAAAATGTTAGAAATAAAGTGGTATTTTCCTTCTTTATATCCTTCCATTCGCTAACTGAATACTGTTGAACAAATAAGTTGAATGGAGCATGAATAGTGTCATTTTCATGCAAAATAGAATCTCATTTTTTGTTTTCCCTCAGTTTCATCACTAATCAATAGGCACTCCAGTCAGCTGAAAGGCATTGTTGAAATTCATTTATTGAATCATCTCCCAAATAATTTTAAATGGTAATGTTTGCATATGTAAAACTAGTCTTGTTTCACAGAGGGAGAGTTAAGACAGCACTTCATCTCATGTTGAAGAATTTACACAGTGAAGTGACTTTTGGTAGTTTTGTGTTAAAATAATGAAAGAGTGCTCCTGCATGGCAACAGGGCATCCAAGCTTTGCATGTTGGACATGGTATTATTAAAGATGAGAAAAGCAATTTCTTTTATTGAAAAAATGTCATTCAGGCCTCATTTTCTATCTAAGCAGCCATCAGAAGTGGTGCTTTGATTGAAGTTGCATCCAAGTGAGTGGACCAGATGTACTAAGGTACCATAAGAAACATGTCTCCAAACAGGCATCAGATGGTTTAGTTTGCAGTCTCCGCTTAAAGCTAACAAGCGTTAAGTCTCTGACTGATGTAGGTAACAGCAGATTTACAAAGCTGCTGCTTTGCATCTGTAGGCAGTCAAGTGCTCTTGTAAATCTAGTCTAATATTTCACTTAAATTCACTCTATGTAAGTCTCATTACGTCTTCACTAGGGATGAACCAGAGTTTTGAAATGACACTCAAAACAACATATCCCTGTGACAGTATGATAAATGATACAGTCTTAGTCACACCATAGGTGCCATATGCGCATACTCTTCTCGTATTGCACTTGGCCTTATCAAAAGTTGATACCTTGGGATAAGTTTGGCGCTCTCTCTCTGTTGTTCTCAGTATGGATCACTTTTGCTTACCAGAAGCCTTTCAGCCCCCCTGATACATAGATTCCTCAATTTCAGGGAAAGAAAAAATTCTATGAATGATCTTCTGCTCACGGTAGCAAATCCGTTTCTGTTTGCGTCTGAGAGGATTTTTCCTATTGCAGAAATGTTTTATTATTCCCCATTGTACTGGTTTACTTGATCGAACCATGTATTTTCCTCCATCTGTGAACCACTGCTAGATTGAATGGCTGTTCAAAAGAGAAACAACAGTGTTTCCTCATCAACAAATTTATGGAACAGAAACGCCAGAGCAAGTGACTTAATGTTTCAGAATACAAATCTGTGGCTTAGAAGGGAGTTTTCTCACCACCACTTTCCCCCATAAGTAGGATTAATGTGATGTTATACTGTATTTGTATTAAAAAGTGTTGTTGTTATTATAAGAACCATTTCTTACTTCTCTTTTTTAATCCCAAACTAAAAAGATAGACGCTAACTTCATTTTCTTAGCACTTGGCTAAGTGTTATTCCACAAACCTAGACTCCCATCTGCATGTAGCGTATATTTAGAAAACAGCTTTCAGTTTCAACTTTCCCAGCAGCTGAAAAAAAAAAAACTGCAGGAGGAAAATATGCCTTTTAAAATCTATGGAAATTGCTCTGCTGGTGTCCTTTTAAGGGACACTGCTCTCTCTAATCAATAAAACCAGTGACACCAGAGGAGTGCGGCCATAAAGCTGTCAGTGAAGTTAAGTTGCTTTATTTGGTGCAAATCAGGCTTTAAATTACAGCTGCATTCAAAAGCCTATGCTGGTGTGGAAGAGCTGTTCTTGTCTCCCCATCTATTTGCTTGTTTGGACCAGCTGTGTGTTTGCTGCTGACTTACCTGCCTTCAAGAGCAGAGGGAAGACTTAGGGCTGCTCAGCTCTGCAGTACGGGGCACTGGAGGACCCTTCTTTTCCTAGACTTAGTTCTGCCTTTTCCCCTCCCGTTCTCCGTTCTGCTGCAGACAGACAGAGATTTGCTGGCGGCGTTGGTCAGCAAAGCCATGCCAAACATCCATAGCAGCTCTCCGAAAGAAAGATCCTTTTCTGTGAGCTGACGTTTATAGTGTAGGAAGCCGATTTGGGAAGTGATAATCCACTCTCCATGGGTGGGAAGATCATTCATACAACAGGGAGGTGGTAGCTGTTTGTTTGGACTTTCATACTGCAGGTATTGTGGGAAAAGGTAGTATTTCAATGAGATTTAAGCTCATATTCTGGCTATTTCTGTTCATTAAAGAATCAAGACCATTTTCACAACTAGTCTGAAGTATTCTCTCTTCTTTTAGGGACCTTTATCTATTTCCCAATATCTTGCAATATTTCAGCCCTGAGACTGTTACAGAGTGAGATGTTTTCCACTGATCACCCAGTGTGTAAGAGAAATAATTATTTTCTTTACATCTGGTGGCAATTGTATATAAACGCAGCACAGACACTCCATCTGGAAGTCTCAGCTCTTAAAAGCACTCCACGACACACGGAGATGATACATGTCACTGCATAGCTGCTGTTTGGCTTCCTCATGGGGTAACCACAGTTCTTTAGCAAGTTAAAGCAGTAGCTTATGCAATCAGATATGAAAATTTAGCAATCCCTTTGGATATGGGGATGCTACTTAAATATGTATGTCTATAAATTACATCTGCCCACATTCTCAACAGGGCTCAATATTTTTGCATCTTAATTTTATTTTAAAGGAAGGCTTGGCTGCTGATTTCTCGTGACTGTCTGTCCTTTTCCACCCAGTAGCTGTGTACTTTAGTACACACTTATGTAGCCCATGTACTAGGTAGGAAAGAGCAAGTATTTATGGTGGAGATCTCTCAGGCTGAAATATCACCTCTAGGTCTGAAAAAAACAAATGAGCTAAGATTTGTGCTGACTTTTTTCCAGACGCCTAAGAAACTTAAGGCCCTAGATTACATTTTTTAAATCAACAGGGATATTTCACAGTTTAAATCTCCTTGAAAAATAAAGGGGCATAGGCCTTTAAGTGCTTACAGGTGTGGAGAGTTTAGGAACAGTTGCAATCCCTGAGTGTATGAGAGCACAACATCCCACAGTCAGAGCTCACCCATAACTGGTTGCCATCACTCAACAGACAAGCGAAATGCCTTAAAGTACAGTAACACCATCGCCTGTGGTGATCTGTCCTTACCCTATAGTTGTTTTGAAATTATACTCCCTTGTCATTATTGTCTTTCATTTTCTTTGCTGGAGTACAGTCATTCTCTACAGTGGCTTTTCATGTGAAAATTGGTAATAGATAGCGATACCCTACATGCACTTGTACTCGTTTTGGGGCACTCAAACACATGAGAACGCAAAGAGTTGAATGCCAACCTTATTCACAAAGCGTCATCAGGCAATGACTTTAGAAGAGAGTCTTGAAGTGAATGGGAGTTAGGTGGCTCCAACCCAGCCTTGTGAAAAGGACTGCTAGTCGTCAGTAGTGTACACTGTAACTACTAAAAATAGTCCAGAAAATCTTTGCTAGTATCACTTGTTCTTTTTAGTAAACCAGGGCTACAAGCAAACAGTGTCTGAAACAAGTTCCCAAGTGTTTCTGTAAGGACAAGATAAAATCATTTTGATATGTCTAATTACTGTTTTTTTGTTTGCTTGTTTGAGCAGAAAAAAGTCACATTAAACACTTTCTTGGATACTCTCATGTCTGATCCCCCGCCACAGTGTCTGGTGTGGTTACCACTTCTGCATCGACTGGCAAATGTTGAAAATGGTAAGTAAGAGCTGCTGCCAAAAAAAGGAGTTACAAGAGTAAACTTTTGTGTGACAATTTTCTCACTCTGTGGATGGCTGTACAGATGCAGCAGCAGTAATTAAGAGACAACGACGTGCCTAAGTACATTTTTGTGCTTCCAGTAATCAGACAGCCGAGTTTGACTTATCCTCCGAGGCACGTCGCTGTAGCTCCTCATGGCACAGCAGAACATTCAGCTTCCCCCAGTAATGCAGCTGAAGGCTGCGGGGGATTTTCCCACGTAGGAATTTCCTCTACCGTGTATTCTGTTAGGCACTGAACACGTTTTTCACTGCTGCGAGCAGGAGGAGCGGGCATCGGCTCAAAAGTGATGAAGGGTTCGGTGCCCAGTGTAGGAAGGGTTGCCCGTGGCTCAGCACAGGTTGGCTGGGCAGCTACTTTGGTTTTCGTGGGTCAAAGCTGCAGGCAGCATCTGGCGCTACAGATCGCTGGAAACAAAGAAGGGGTTCGCCCTTCAGTTCGGGGCTTTGTCCTTAAACTTTTGCTGGCGGGGGGGGGGGGGGGGTGTCGCTGCTTTGGTTTACGGCTCGGCGTTTCTCTCTCCTGCGCAGTCTTCCACCCCGTCGAGTGTTCCTACTGCCACAGCGAGAGCATGATGGGGTTTCGCTACCGCTGCCAGCAGTGTCACAATTACCAGCTCTGTCAGGACTGCTTCTGGAGGGGCCATGCCAGCGGTTCCCACAGCAACCAGCACCAAATGAAAGAGTACACGTCATGGGTAAGGGAAGGCTCACGCCTCGCTGCAGACTGCTTTGCCCTCCAGCTGGTGGAGAAGCCCCCAGCCGCAGCTCCTGGCAGCCGTCTGGCACGGGGGGGCGGGGAGCCGGGCTGAAGGGGCTGGCAACAGGGCGCCAGGCGCACGGCAGCTTCTCCCCTTCCCACAGGACTCACGGTAAAATCATCATTGGCTTGCTCTGTTTGGCTATGTGTAAATGAAATGATGAATACTTAACGCTCACTCATCAGTATTTTCAGTCGAGTGGCTGCAGCGTATGCGTAGCGTTTGGGATGGTCCTGGCACTGTGGATTTGAGCGTGGTCATAGGCTTAGATCCACAGTCATGTTTACGGTAGAGAAAACACACTTCAATCTTTCCTTGGTTGAACAAAATAATTCAATGTTTTTTCTAAGCTGAAAGAGAATTATCAACAGCTACATTAACCTTCTCTGAAGGGCATCAGACCTGGGGGCTAAGCTCTCCACAGAGTGGAGCAAAGCCCCAACAGAAGCCCTTGGTCACAGAGCTTCCCAATCCTTCAGGGTTGAAATCCAGAGACCAGCAGAAATATCCTGACTAATCTCAAGTATTATAAAAGTATATTGTTACCAAAAAAAAGAAAATTATGCGTATAGCAACAACTCACATTCATACAGCACTTTGTGTGTATTTTTCAGCAAAGTTCTGAAGCTTAGCACTTCTGAAATGTCTGGTTTTCTGTTGATGGAGCAGGCAAGGGTTAAATTTGACACGGTTTGCTCTGTATGCCAGTCACACGGCCCTTCGCTGCATCCCAGCAGATCTGGGTCTGTAATTGTTTTTGTGGGTCCTAATTGCTGCTTGTTGCATAGACACCAATGGCTTGAGTTTAGTCTCTACATAGGAGAGTGCCCACTCTGTAGCTCTGACTCCATCCTAACAGCAATTGGTGCTCTAAAATAATTTTTTGCTGTAGCCAGGGAGCTGTAATTATAGGTAGGAAGTAATTGGAAAACTTAAGATTCCTGCTTAGCAGAAGACAAAAACGTGACTACATGCCTAGTGGTTTTAAATGTTTCCTTGTCAGAAACAAATGTTTTGCTTCAAGTTTGAAATTGCCTTTCTGTAGCGTTCGTTAGCATTTGTTCAGAGCTGATTAGCATTCTCCATAATGCATCTGTATCAAGCTCCACAGGCAGATCAAAGGTGTTCATGGATACGGTGGAACTCGACTGTTCTCAATTCAGAGTGAAATCGCATTTATAATGAAAGTGAAAAAGCCTGAACTTTACGTATTTATGTTGGATTTCTGTAATAGAAATATTTAATTATTATCTTGATTACAGTCATAAGTCGATGCAGGATGTGTGTGCACAAATACAATACCACTCCTGTTAAGTTCCAAAAAGATATTTAAAGTTCAGCATGTAAAGCTGTGTTTTGGGGGGAGGAGACTGTGTAAGGATGAGTACCCCAGTTTTACTGGCCAAGAAGCTGAATCACAGAGAGATGGGTTGGATTCCCTGAGAATCTCTCACACAGCCTGAGACATCCTAGATCTCCGAGCCCTTCTTTTGAAGTGTTCAACTGCAAAGAGTGTCCAAACAAAGCTAGAAAGCAGAAAATACTGATTTTTTTTTATATTTTATTTTTAGACTCACTGATGGGATTTTGGGGTAAAAAGCATGCTTCTTGCACAGAGCCTCCCCGTCTTTTGGTGACAGTGACAGTATGTCAGCCTCTTCTGGCGTACTGTCACCATGGTGGGGCAATTCCTGCCATGCATGTGTCTCAAATTTCCCTTTCCCCGGTGCGGCAGGGGCTGCAGTGGCCACAGGAGGTGGAAGAAGAGCTTTATAACAGCAGATAAACAGTACAGGGTGCTGGAGCTGAAGGGGGAAATATTAGCGAGGAGAAAGAATACAGCAGCCTTGTGGCTGGCCCAGAACTAGGAAGGAAACAGTGTCCCGTACAGTGTATCTATATGGACAGACATACACAGACTTGTTCTGCTAGCACTCCCAAGATGGTGAGGTACAAGCCAGCTCCAGTCCAGGCGACCCTAACTTTGTGCTGTCCTTCATTCAATACTACCCGAGTGCAGCGTTGCAAAGAAGCCATGGCAACTGCATCTGTCCATATAGATATAGCCCCCAAGCCTACTCTAAAGGGCCCTAAAGGTAAGAGCAATCTGTCCTCCAAACTGAGCAGTCTTTGCCGTACCAGAGTCTCGGGGTGGGAGGGGGACAAGAGGGGTGTCAGTCGATAGGTGTGTAAGCTGTAGAGCTTGCTGTTGTTTTGTGCTTCCTCTAGCAGAAACAGTATGCACCTTACTTGTCCAGATTACCTCTACCTTCCTTGTTCCTCCCAGAAATCACCTGCTAAGAAGCTAACTAATGCACTTAGCAAGTCTTTAAGCTGTGCTTCCAGCCGTGAACCTTTGCACCCAATGTTCCCTGACCAGCCTGAAAAACCTCTAAACCTGGCTCATATTGTGTAAGTATCTGTGTGCGGTAGAGAAAGTAAGCTTTGTTGTAGGAGTTGCTTACACCAAGTGTAGATACTATAGCTCTGAACAAATCGGGAGGCAGCTGTGGCCTATCAAGCTCGATGGATCACAAGTGCAAATTTACTGATAGGGGCATTTAGTATAAAAATGTTCTCCTGTTGTGACTTCACTTGAAAAGTCAGTGGGATATACCTATAACCAAATACAGGGATGCAATGGTGGTATGTCCCCATTCTCCTCAAGAGATATCCGTGCAATTTCATGGAGTTTCAGCACTTTGGGATGTATTCAGGCTGAGAACATTAGTTTGCTGTTTAGAGACTCAACTTCACTGTATCACAGGTATGTCTTGAACCAAAGCACCAGAGAAAAGTGAAGTCTGACCAATTTTGTTGAAAACAGTGTCAGAGTTCCTGC